CTAATTAATACAGATTAAAGGGTAGTAAGTCTGTTATAGTTAACACAGATTAAAGGGTAGTAAGTATGTTCTAATTAATACAGATTAAAGGGTAGTAAGTCTGTTATAGTTAACACAGATTAAAGGGTAGTAAGTATGTTCTAATTAATACAGATTAAAGGGTAGTAAGTCTGTTATAGTTAACACAGATTAAAGGGTAGTAAGTCTGTTCTACTTAATACAGATTAAAGGGTAGTAAGTCTGTTATAGTTAACACAGATTAAAGGGTAGTAAGTATGTTCTAATTAATACAGATTAAAGGGTAGTAAGTCTGTTATAGTTAACACAGATTAAAGGGTAGTAAGTCTGTTCTACGTAATACAGATTAAAGGGTAGTAAGTCTGTTATAGTTAACACAGATTAAAGGGTAGTAAGTCTGTTCTAATTAATACAGATTAACACAGCGTAAACCTCTTCTGCAAGAAACTATAAAATAAATTGAGTGATAATTAAATAAAAACACATCACTGAAAATGTGAAAAACAGAAGTGTTATACTGGTAACATCATTCACTTATTATAAGAAAGCCATCAACAAAAACTGTTGCCAAGTGACAGAGCCCCCCTTTGTTTTTGTTATTTGCTGAGTCTCTAAGACACTATTTACCAAGGTCATACACAGTCATTCAAGAATGTAAAATTCATTCTCAACCTATTTAACAAGAGCAGAAGCATGTGTAATGCAGGTGGGATGATCGGTATTTATTTCAAACAACAAAACTGTCAACACTAACTGGAGAAGGAAAATAAAAACATTCCAACTATAGTTGACAAAATCTTTCCATCACACACCTAAGGACTATCTTCTTAACCTTATACAGTCTAAAGCCAACAAATATTAAGAAAAAACAAAACAATATAAGACATACTAAATAATGTCTCATAATTTGTGACTTAAAATGCCACAACTCACAAATCCTGGAACCAATGACGTAAATATTGAATGACTTAAAATTGAAGATTATTAAGAATTTAACATACTACTACTGATGAACATAATGTCTCATAAGTTTCCTTCCTAATGAAGTTTTTACCAATTCTCAACGAATCTTCAGCTATAACTTTCCTTACAATTTTTTAATTCTTCCCATTTAAGAATGATTTAGGAAAAATAAAACAAAATTCCAAACTATGCCATACTTCTGATTAAAAGAAAACTAATACATACCTGTATACTGAAACCAGTAAAAATAAAGAATTTTATATAAATAACAAATTGTGAATTATACATCAGCTTTTAAAATAAACTTTTAGAAACTACCATCACTGCCATAGGAAGCAATTTTGGAGTGGTCAGACCTTTGCCACAGCTAAACAATGTGACACAAGATGTGTGCAAAACGCACCACCAGCATGAAAAGCATGTCATTTCTAAGGGGTTCTGCCCCCCCCCCAGAAAATGTTTGAAAATTTAATAGTATGAGATTGAATCTTGAGCCATTTTAACTACAAATACTGCATACACACAATGTAATGTATTGAATAAAAAGAAGCAAGTTTTAATACATAAGTTATAACTATACATGCCATGAAAAAGTGGTCAGGCCATGGCCTGACTGCTTCCTATGGTGCTGAGCATAAATTATTCCCAATCCACTGCAGGATCTAAAGGCCCCCTCATGACTCAAAGAGACCCTAGTGTTCCGATCAAGCTCCTCCATTATCCACAATCACTTCCATAGCTACCCCATTACCCCAAGAAGGCCTATAGCCAAAAACAAACCCCATTAGGACATATACTTTTGGTACCTGAGTATGTATGCCATGTTTGATCCCACTAGCTCATGAGAGGAGGTGTGAACAAAACTTCAAACACATCACCCCCAGGATCCTGAAGGAGTCTAAAAATACAAAACCTGGTTTGGTTTTAATGACCTAAACACTCGTCGTGACTGGGTGACTTTCAGGGCACATTTGAGACCCCTTCATAGAGGTTACAACCCTCCCCAAGTCTTCCTACCAATAAGTTTTATTCAGATTGACAAATGGATACTAAGGAAGCAATGAGACCATGATTGCTATAACATGATCTTTATTCTCTCAACATTTCGACTACAAGTTTGGACCTCCTAGCTCCAAAATTGTGGAAGGAGTTGTGGACAAACACAAAGTGAAATTAATATAGAGGACAGACACAAGATAAAGAAAAATTTCAGAGTTACTGAAGTGCGGTAAACAGAGTATTTAATTTATTGCAAATGTACCAGACTTAATGATTTTATATAAATTATTATACCATTCATTCTAAGCAAAAAGTTATTTAAGTACTTTTTTTTGTATTATTAACACCATATCAAGCCACTGGCCACAACTGTACATGTAATCATTATACTACTTTTGTTGAAAATTATTTAATCATAGTGTAAATTTTCTCTGAATTGTACGTGTATTGTCATGTATATATGTCAAGAAATACATCACTATACACACATACATACAAAGAAAAGGAAGGACTTCAGATACGATCAGCTACTGAAACTTAACAGAGTAAATTCAACACTGCAGGTAGGACCTTACCTATTCTTAGGCCTACAACACTATTGAAAAGTAAAGTTACTTCTATATATATACTGCTTATAAAAACAAACAAATTTTACACAAATAAGACTTCATAAATAGATGTAGCTCAGGAACACCTGAATTTCATTAAACAATGAATTAAGAAGGGTTAACAACTACAACTTGCAAATTAACATAGACAATTTATAATTAATATTAATTAATAATGATAATATCACCATTTGCAGACAAGCTAAGTATCATGAAAACAGTGTCATAAGAAATCTGATGTACTGTCCAGTTCTCAATGTCCATAGTGTCAATCTCTCACATCTTATGTTTAGTCACTTTACACCTTAATTATCAGTAGCATAATAGCCTTTTTGTACATAAGTCATAAAAAACCTCTTTCTTGGTGACTTTGTTATTTCATGCAACTTCTTCTGATTGAAAATACAACCATTTCTAACTGATTCATATTCATTGTTTGCTTCATAACAAAGATATCATAATTGTGTGTTATTTTCTATTTCAAGATTACTTTTTTGTGCACTAATGCCATTTCATATCACATTGTATATTACTGTTTTTGGGTCAAGTATAAGAAACTTTCTAGTCTTCATACAATGTCACTTTAATCCTTCAAAATGAACTGTTTAACTGAAACAAATTACATGACTTATTGTTTCCATATCTCAACTTATTCTAGATATACACTTATGATCCTACGAATAGAAGATTGTTTTATAAATGTAATATTTTCACAAGTTTATCTTTGTACGTATTTGGAATAAAATTAACTGAAGTATAGTCCATAATTAATGACACCATTTAACTTAATTCAAATTAAAATGAGGAGACACGCCCCCTAGCCAAAAATGGTAAATTAAAACAGTAAAATTATACATTACTTAATTAATACTATTATGAAACTAGCAATACTCAATATTATTGAAATAGGCTTAGCCTTATTTAAGTTGCGATCCATTTAAATTTTAAGCAAAATTACAATTAAGATACAGACTTCTTATAAGTTATAATTATTGTGCAGCTTCACATTATTTATAGCGATAGCTAAATTTAGAATGAAAATTAAATAGTTTACTTACGCATGTTAAAGGAATCTAATATTTTCTCACTCTTCTTCATCACGAAAGAAGGTTTACAGTACAATTTACAAAACCCGACTAGAAATTGCACGTATCTGTAGTGCCACCTTTTGTCATAAAGTGAAATGAAGAGTTCTTTTGATGTTTTGTTTTTTATTGTTTTGAAATTCATAATTAAATACCATTACAACTTGCAAAAGTAAAATCATTAGCAGGACTAAAATATTTTGCCACTGGTTTAATTTTTACTAAGCTTTTGTTTAAAAACAAAAGCATTATAGTAAATTATGTCAATATTTTATGCTACCAAAAGGAGTGGTTTTTGTTTAAACATTTCTGAAGTAAAAGGCATAAAAAAGTTACCTGGTGTTTATTTCTAAACATCTAAAAAGTTTCACGATAAAAAAAATCATATATATATATATGTGTGTGTGTGTGTGTATCCACCTCCTCGGTATATGTCTGTTTTGCTCAGGAAAGTGACTGATAAAATGAAACAAAATAAAATTGTTTAAGTAATAATAATAAACTCTTATTATTAATTTCAAATGAATAAATAAAAATACCCAAACATCATTTGTATATACATATATATATATATATTATATATACTATCTTAATGTATGAATATATATATAGATATTTATTTATTTATTTAATATTGTGATAATAATGAATTTTAATATCGTGATAATAGTTATTTTTAATATTGTAATGATTATTAGTTTAGCTTTATAATTCACTTATAAATGAGGTCAGTTTACATTACATATCTAATAAGCGGGGACATTAAGGGTTGGCATTGACAGAAGTGCTGGAGATAATATAGAAATTTCTGTGGATTAATAAGCTGCGCCTCCTTGCGCAAAATGGTTTATATTAATACTGGAAACTTAAAAGCTAATATATAAATATCACACTAAATTTACCTACACACTCTAATTAAAAAGTGGAGTTGGAACTTTTTTGATATTAATTTTAATCTAGACATTATATACCCTCTTTTAAATTTATTTAGCGCTCAATATTTTTAGGTGGATGAAGAAAATGTAAATTGTATACAAGATTTTAGTCTTAAAAAAAAACAATGCTGAAAAATATAAAGGAGTTATGAAGCCAGTACCAATAAGTTATTGTTTTAGCACGAAACTATACAACGGTGTATATACGGTGTGTCCGCTGCTTTATAAGCCATCAAACTTACTGTGCTGACCTCTAGATTCTAGAAGTACGAGGTGACACGATATAAAATACAAATATCCAATTTTTGTGTCTTATTATTAATTATTGTTTTTATGTAATTCAAAATATTTATTGTTTAAAACCTAAGATATAGTTTATGTAAGTTTTAGTATCTATACGTTGCACAATTAGCCACAAGTTGTTGACCTGGTGACTGTTTGTCACACTAAATCTACGTAGAGAGCTGTAAACCTAAATGCATGTCACAGATCATTGGAAGTTACATTACCCTAGGTTCTGTCTTATCTACTTTGTTTTGTTGTAATTAAGCACAAAGCGTTTATGCAAGTTTTAGTATCTATACGTTGCACAATTAGCCACAAGTTGTTGACCTGGTGACACTTTGTCATACTAAATCTACGTAGAGAAACTACACCTAAATGCATGTCATAGATCATTGGAAGTTAAATTCCCTTAGGTTCTGTCTTATCTACTTTGTTTTGTTTGTAATTAAGCACAAAGCTACACAATGGGCTATCTGTGCTTTGTCCACCACGGGTATCAAAACCCGGATTGTAGCGTTGGAAGTCCGCATACATACCGCTGTGCCACTGGGGGGCATCTTATCTACATCAGAAAGTTATTAAGAAAAACTATGGTTTATAAGATTTAATTTCTAGTTGACGTATGATTTGACAAAATTTATATGAACTTAGGTTCTCGTCCTGAACTCAACACTAATTTATCTTATGTTTGTAATTAAGTTTATTTTAGGCTACCAAACGTTTGGCTGGAAGATGATAATATTTTTATTGGTTAAATAGAAAAAGGCGCACTGTTATATATTAATTTCTATACGAAAACGTAATAATATCGTGTATTTAGTCCAAATAAAGTGTCACAAAAATTGTTTTATATTGACTTGACCGCTGAAGGTCGAGGTAACGATAATTATGAGATAAGGTAAAATTTAAAGTCACCAATCGCTAAGAGCACATACACAGTAAATTTGTAAGGACTGCAATAGAGGGCGCTTTGAAATTTTTAATTACGACCAATTAGATTTTATTCGTTTTCTAGTGAAAAGCTTCACGACAGGATATCTGTGTTCTGTCCAACGCAGGGATTCATACCCTGGATTTTAACATTGTACGTCCGTGAACTTACAACTGAACCACCAGAGATATTATGACAAAATAAATTATATTAGCGTTTAATCTCTTGCGCTTTAGTGCTAGAAACCGGGTTTCGATACCCTTGGTGGGCAGAGCACAGATAGCCCTTTGTGTAGCATTGTGCTTAATAACAAGTAACAAGACCAACATCTTGCATCTGCCCGAAAGTTTAGTTAGTTTGTTTGTTTAGAGCAGCCCCCCCCCCACCACACACACCACACTGGCACAGCGGTATGTCTGCGAACTTACAACGCTAGAACCCGGGTTTCGATACCCGTAGTGGGCAGAGCACAGATATCCCTTGCGCAGCTTTGTGCATAATTAAAACAAACTTGTTTAGAGCAAAGCCACATGGGGCTATTTGCTGTGTCCACCGCCGAGAATCGAACCCCGGATTTTAGTGTTGTAAGTCCGTAAACTTACCTCTGTCCCACCGAGGGACAAAAATCTTAAAAGCAGATGAATTTCAGCTTTTCAGTTGAGGGGGTTAATTAAGCATAAGTTTTACTTTATATTGAAAGTACTTGACTTTTAAGCACCCCATTAAGCTTTTGATTAAAAAACCGGCCGCGGGCACTAGATTTCAGACCTGACAGGCCGTGTTCGAATCTGTGTAATACCATAAAATATTATGGACTCCTTAAGCTATGAGTGCGTTATAAGAGTGGCAGTTAATCCCTCAGTATAGATGGTGGTGGTGGGTTGGATGCTGCTGACTGGCTGGCTACCCTCTGGTCAGTAGTTCAAAATTAAGGACGGCGGTAGATAGAGTTAGTAGCTTTACCATAAATACAAATACGATTAAAAATTCTTTGAACATTTAACTGAAAGTATTTTATATGTTTAACTCTGTACCATTTCACACATTTTTTACATTAGGTAAGAATTTTGGTGATAAATAAATTCCCAAGGTTTTGATATCAGAGTGGGAATATTAGCCCGTATAAGCTGTTTGCCAGAGTTGTGTAAAGAGTCACGTGACTTTGAATGGGACCCCTGTCGTCGTGACTCGGTTACATTGCGTGTTTAAATCAACCTGGAGACAAAGTTAACCCTAATTTTTAATTTTATTTGCGAGTGTCTGTTGTTGTTTCTTAATGATTACTCTTTTAAAATTCAATACATTCAGTAGATAGCGTAAATGTTACCATTGTTTGAAAGTCATAGTGTAGTAATACTGGTAAAAAAATGGTGATAAGAGCCCCCTGGAAACGAGTTTCACATTTCGCAATTGGACACCGCAGGACAACCCCCTCCCCAAACCTTACTGGTCAGTTAAGTTGTTTGTTTTTGTTTAATTTTTGTGCAGAGATACTCGAGTGTTATCTGCACTAGCTGTCTCTAATTTTGAAGTGATCGACTAGAGGGAAGGCAGTTAGTTAACAGTACTCACCGCCAACCCTTGGGTTATTATAATCGAATATTGGTATACGACTACCACTCTTATAATACACCCACGGTCCCGAGGTGTATAGCGCCATCATTTTTTGGCAATAACAAAATCTCGAACCCATAGTCTGGCTCCCTAACCACCAGGCCGCGCTCAACCCTGGTCAGTTGAGGTATATAAAATTTTATAATTCTCGTTTCTCTTTTTTATAACTTGTTTTTCAAAACATAATTTTATTGATACGACTTTTCTACCTGCGAGTCAGCGGTAAATGTACTGACTTACGACGCTAAAATCCGGGGTTCGAATCCCTACGGTGGACAGATAGTCCATTGTGTAGCTTTGCGCTAAAAGCCAACAAGAATAACAACTGGTACGATTTTTTAAAGTAAAACTAGCCATAGGTTTGTTTGTAGACTAGAAATATGACACGGTACAACAAATCAGAGTGATCCTTGTCATATGTAACTTTCATAAAATTAGCCATAGGTTTGTTTGTAGACTAGAAATATGACACGGTACAACAAATCAGTGATCCTTGTCATATGTAACTTTCATAAAACTAGCCATAGGTTTGTTTGTAGACTAGAAATATGACACGGTACAACAAATCAGTGATCCTTGTCATATGTAACTTTCACAAAACTAGCCATAGGTTTGTTTGTAGACTAGAAATATGACACGGTACAACAAATCAGAGTGATTCTTGTCATATGTAACTTTCATCCCATCCGAAATCCGAACTATAAAATGCCAAATATGAACAGAATACATTTAAATAACTGGAGAGTAATATTTTCCCATCCATTAATGTTTTGTTTTTTTTTCGTTAAGAAGGTCATATTCAGTGTATTATAGACTAAAAAATGATAACTGAAAACAATACATCAGTTAAACAATCATACCAGACTTGTGATATGACAAATACCAGTATTTTTCTAACCATAAAACGTCTCAATAAGAATCAGTTCAAATAACACAAAATGTTTACATTATTTGGAGTCCTCCTGAACCACGTGTGCCATAAAAAGCTTTATTATTTCATTGACAATACATATACGTCTAATTTCACATTTGTTATATACAAGTAAAAAAAAAACTTCGCCACAGTTGTGGTTTCGTTGTTTTATTTGAACTTATGTTTTAAGACGCACAACGATCAAGTAAAGAAATATGCATTAACGTAATCATTATGCACACAACAGTCCAACACAAACAGCTTAAAAATCTGGATCAAACGTGATATCCCCAAAGTTTTGAAAGCAACTTTAAAGCGTCCTCTCGTTAAGACTCGGCAACAGAAAGTCGTATATCACGCGCGCGTTTCGCTTTTCTTTTAAAGTTTAATGAATAAAATGTTGTCCAACACATAAAACATCTATATTTTCATCAGAAACTCGTACAATTATCAAACAAACGTTACAATACAACATATTGAACCAATAAGCCGCAGTCTCTTTCATAGTTAAACTATTCCTTACAAAGCAAAAGCCCTGTTCTTTTCGGGTTTCTCGAGCTCAAATAAAACGAGTTTGATATTAATTAAAGTTCACAAAACTGAAATATTTGTTTTAATATCAATAATATACGGTAGGACAGCTACGAGCGTTCTGGATTATTGTCCTTCGAGTTTGATACTATTAAAGTTCACAAACCTGAAATACTTGTTTTAATATCAAAAATATACGGTAGGACAGCTACGAGCGTTCTGGATTATTTTACTTCGAGTTTGATACTATTAAAGTTCACAAAACTGAAATACTTGTTTTAATATCAATAATATACGGTAGGACAGCTACGAGCGTTTGGGATTATTGTCCTTCGAGTTTGATACTATTAAAGTTCACAAAACTGAAATACTTGTTTTAATATCAACAATATACGGTAGGACAGCTACGAGCGTTCTGGATTATTTTACTTCGAGTTTGATACTATTAAAGTTCACAAAACTGAAA